TATCTAAATTGTATGTGTGCAAACATGTGGTGACATTCGCCATTAATTGTGCAACACAGGGAAAAAAAAAGCTCGTGTTTGAACAGTCACACCCCTCCATCACATCCATCTCCATTCCTCGAAATACCGAATGATGATGGCATTTACATCTTCCAACCCGTCGGTGGTGGTATAGCAGCGACAATGCGACCTACTGTTTTTTAACATGTCCCGGCTACCTTGATGGGCTGAGTTTACGTTCACCAGCCATCATGAATCGTAATCGCCACCGGCATCACATCACATTTGCCTACACATACCTACCTTGATGACCACCATTGTATAAGACCTACCCTCCAAGATACTGGTGTTGTGTTACGTTGTATGTGTTGTATCCCCCTACAATTCATTCCGATCTTTTTTCTTTCACCCTTTCAGTGCAGAGTCACAGTCTGGAATGAAACGCTCAAATGGAGGGCACCCCGTGAAAACAGCTCAAACTAATACATCGGCACGGTAGCCAACTTTCTCCGCAGCGGGTCTCTGAGCTACTGTACCCCAGCTTTCAGCCACACGGCTGCTCGCCCGTCCGGCGTCGGGTCCGGAGCCCCCGACCTCCCGTCTGCGACGACGTTAGAATCTATGCGGTGTTAGTGAGGTGAAAACACGTTGTCTGGTGGTATTGTTGTCATGAAACATCGTATCTGTGTAGATAGATCAGCTGTTCGCACAGCACATTTGACCAGTCAGCCGACTGACGATGCCAACATATCGTGGAGCACGAAGAGGGCCAGGAGTGGCGTGTGTGTGGCCTTTGCGTGTGGATGGTGTTTGCGTGGGCCAACTCATTCGCTTGCCGCGCCGATGGTACCTCCGGTAAAAGTGCGCCTGTGTGTCTGTGGCCAGAGCGGCCACCGCGGTGGCGGCGGCGGCAGGCTAGGCTACGGAAGAGGGTACGGCGGCACGGACGAAAACACGCGCGGGGGCGGAGGAGAGACTTGCTGATGAAGCGGCCAGCGCGGGGAACAACGGAGGCGGCGGCGGCGAGGGCCGACGGGCACGGTCTGGAGCCTCTGCCCAGCTGCAAGGGTACGATTGCGGCGCGGACTGCGCCTGCGACGCCCATGCCTTGTGAGCCTGGCGGGTGCTACATCCGGTGCTAGGCCATGCAGTGTGAGTTGCAGAGCGGCAGAAGTGAGGTAGGATAGGCAATGCGGTTGGTGGTTTTAGCGGCATGGGGGAATGTGAGGGCGCAACTTCCAGAAGCTCTCGCGATGTTGCAATTGGCTATACTCGGTTCCACGGTGATGGAGGGCGAACAAGAAGAGAGAACAAGATGCTGCCGCGTCACAAGTCGTTTCCGTGTTAGCTGTGGTCGATGTGTTGTCATGGGCCCGCTGGAATCGGTGAGTTTCGTTGTCAGGAACGCGCAGCTTGGGATGCAACTCGGCGAGGGTCGAAACTCGAATCGAAACTCGACATTGCAAAAAAGCTGTCTCCATCCAGCACCATTTCAAACGGTGCCAATGGCTCGAATCTGTTTTCGGGTGGGGTCGGCGGGGTCAGATCTACCTCTAGCCCATGGTCTAGACTCACCCCTCCTCCACTTGGTCTTGGCGTTCACTTTGTTTCTCCCTAGCTCCCCCACCTGGGTCCCACCTGATGGACCCCTCGTCACAACTGCATCCATCAACGACTTCGGATTTTGTGATGGAGGGTGAGAACGCCTTGTGAGTGGTTGAATTCTTTGACCTTTTGATGTCGTGGCTGTAAGCCATGTGCGATTTACGGAGCATTTACGACGAGCGTGATCAGCCCACGAGTTGCTACATGGTTCTGGACCACAACATTGAGACTTCACTGTCCACGCGGCACGCCGTGGAAAAATGTTCTTCACCGGAGAAAGTGCGCCGGCTCAGAGACGACAGTGATGCGTTTACGGTTCAGCTATTGAATTCAATATATTGACGCATTTGCGGCAAAGCATACGGCAACTATTGCGAAATCTGGGGCGAGATAGGGGTTGGAAGAGCCGCTTGGAAGTTGGACAAAGACTAGACTCAATTGAAGACATTCCGATGTGGGATTTGGCTGCATCAGTGTCTTTACATGAGAACATAATCCAGAATGTTCATAATCTCTCTAAGTGTTTACGAGCCACCATCCATATTTTGGACTCAACAAACTGTCATCACACTCCAAAATTTCTGTGTCTGCCGCAGCCACGCATGAGAGATCTCGTCGCGGCATATAGAACGCAACACAGAGCAGGCACTTCATTAACCTACACGGCCTCGACTGCGAGAAATGTGTATCTTGAAAGGTAATATATGCTGCTCTCCCATCTATCTCAACCCTATTTTTGCCCTCACTCACACCTGCAGATAACAGACGCAGGTCCTTGCCGAAACGGCTAGCGTGCGTGTCGATGTGCCCGCCCAGGGTATGCCCGGCTCCTCGGGGACGATGAGGGGCAGAAGCCATTCCCTATCGAGGAGGGTGTGGGAGATCCTATCCAGAACAAAACGAACTCGGAAATAGGGGGGGGGTGTGATGCTCCTCTGTTGGATTCACTCCAGGGGGCGTTGTCTTTTTTTTTTCTTTTGCTTGCCTTTCGGACATGGGGAGGGCCGGTTCAACAATGCGGCTATCTCAGGGGCCCCGGGATAAACGCGGGCTTGGTTTGATGACTTGCAGACGTCGCGTAGCGTCCACTTTCCCTCTCCCGATCATCTCACAAGGGAAGAGTGGACTCTGGGCCCGGGGTTATGCATCGTTAGCGTCTATGTCGTTGGACGATTCAATCAATAAGGCGCAATTTTGTTGGAGAAGCGCGGGCTGCAGTGATCCACTGTCGGATGCGGAGTGGTATCGTGCTCGGGGCTTGGGAGGAGCAGGAAGTCAAGATTGCATTGACGAGATCGGAAGTCTTCCGAGGTGTTGATGGCTTGGCGATCTGGCAACATTGGTGAGTGCCATGTGTTCCAGTGCCATTGCTGGTCAATTCGATGTCGTTAAGAGCACCTCTCGGTGAAAAGGCGACCAATTGACTTATCCTTTGTTTCTAAAGTGTTGTGGAGTACAAAATAGAGTCAATTGGCTGTTCTAGTGGCTTTGAAGTCAACCCAAAGTTCCTGAAAAGTTGCACATGATGCCGGATGGCGTCTGCTTAAGTCCCAATTTGGAACCGTATCATCTGCAGTATGTTAGTGATAGTGGAGTAGTCGTTTTTTTGGTGGTCGACTGCTTCAGTCCTTGAGCTTTAACAGTAAAGTCAGAGTCGAAAAAGGCAGGCGGGTAACAGAACATGCATTTATAGCCCTTTCAGATGACGTTGGAAACGGGCCAAGGGACGCCTTAGTACTTTGTTCTTTACCCAAAATGTCCGTGACAACATACGATCAGCCACTCAGATCTCATCGTGACGTTCATTGGTCCCTTTATCCAACGGCTGCGGCGGGAATGTGTTATGCGTGATCGATGTCAGCCGCGGGCTAGGACAAGCCACACTGAAGTGCTGAAATCTTGGATCGCTTAGTCCACATGTGTTGATTGGCAGATGCTTGCGCAATCCAATGTACATGGCACTTCCAAAGTCTCAACAGATGCATAGTGTAAGCGGGATGGATAACTCCCGGGTATCGGAATCTTTAGACGCAAACAAGCCAAGATTTCCCTCCCGACACCCTGGCACGCTCGTTCAACCTGCCATTCGATGCGGTGTAAGGTGAGATCGCTCCTGCGTGCACCAGGCCAGGGTACTCTACCCATGCCAGGCTGCAGGAAGACCCCCTAGGATTTTATATGTCCCAGAGCGTGGGGGGAAAACGGAGGAGGGACTTGGGCAGAGAGGTAGCGGTACTTTCTGGTACAAGCCGAGTTGAGAACCGCCTCCTTGCGAGGATATCTCCATTTTGTCTTCTCTTCACTCGGGCCAGACTGAGAACATCTCCCCATCTCGCCAGGATTACTAGTTCTTTTAAGCAGCGACTCCAAGACAGGATATCCCCGCCAACGCTGTCCTCCATTCTTCCCTCAGAATCAGGTGCCGCCGGGTAACACCTCGCGACTGACTCTCAGTTGCCGAACGTCTGTTACTGGCCTTATCCGCCCTGTCAGGCTGCTGTGTTACCTTGCCCTGGCCTGATTGACCCCCTGGCCAAGACCCAGGGACATCTCTGGTTGGCATCTTGGGGGAGACGGAGGGGTGGGAGGTCCTGATTTCAGGGCCAACGCGTGATGGCGTGCATTGTGTCTGCGCTGCTACCTGAGGGGAAACGGTTGGCTGCCAGTATCCGAATTGGGATGCATGGTCGATGCTGATTGGTCAGATCCCCTGTGGACCCCATGTCACCTCCGACCGGTTTTTGTCCCAAGACCCAGGCAGTTCTTTTTTTTTTTTATAACCTCAGCCGCAATCACCATCTTTATTTGATGTCTTTGTTTGGGATGTCCTTAATCGCGCTCCGTTTTCTATCATTTTTAGAGAGTCTAACACTCATATCTAGCCGTTTTCTGAGGCATCTTGTCGCCATATTGTAAGTCTTCTCATAGCAAAATGACAATACCATTAAGAATTGGTCGCAGGAGTTTCTCTCCCCCGCGATGACAGCCATTAACCCCTCAAAGAGGGGTCATCCAAAGATAAGAGAAAACAGACCAAAAAAAACCATTATCGCACTTTTCTCCACCTCCACGACTCAGTCCCTATCTCTCAGCCCCGTTCTTTTATCTTTTTAGTGTCCCGTAAACCCATGACAAAATTGCTCCCTTGTTGTTGGAAGAGCAGCCCAGAAAGTGGGTGACCCAGGAAAAATAAACCCATACCCATTCCATTCCCAACATAGCCGAGTCCTGTTATTCCCCTCGACTAATTGATATAAATTCCCGAACCATATCCATACCCATCCCATACCAATCGCCCATTGAGTCGTTGAGATGATTAAGAGTGGTGAGCCAGTCGCACAACCGCTGGCACTGCTTTTAAGTCAAGAGTATCCGTAGCGCTATCGTATGTTTCTTCAAGCAAGCATCGATTTCATATTCTCGATAGAATACAGGCCCTCGGCCTTGCCCTTGATGGGGGAAGAGCTGTCGACCTCGGCTTTTTGTGAGGCCACGACCACCCGGCGAATCTGGGTGAGACGGGCGTGGCGCATTGCTTTCGGCAGGTCCGGGCCAGACGGGGTCGTCATAGCCTGGCTGCGAGGAGGCTTCTCCTGCAGACGGAAAGTGTTGTGCTCGTCGCCGTCTTCGCGGCTGCCCCAAGAAGTCTGTATTTACAGTTAGAACGGACTGATGGGATGGCGATGGTTCATGGTGGTTTGCATGTATGTACCTCTTTGAGAGTGAAGAGAGCGTAGAGCTTGATCAGGCCATGGAAATAGCCAAAGAGAATGGAGACTGGGAGGAACATGATGTCCTTGGGATTTTTGCGAAACAGGCCAACCAGTTTGACCACTTTTGTGAAACCGAACATGAAGGCAATTTCCGCTCCCAGAAGAATGTAGCGGTCCCTCATATTCCAGCCCTCAGTTCCCCACCAACAGGTAAAAAGGAGAAGGGGGTCAACCACAAAGGCTAGCGAAGTGAAAGTGGCGATATGCAGCGCGTAGGTGCACCATGGTTGTTGGCTGTGTAGTGACACAAGTCAGCCTGCATGAGCCTTCGCCCAATAAGAAGCGATAGCGAGAGGGAAAAAAAAAAAACCTACCGCCACACGTGCCGCTCCACAAACAAGCTGGTCCAGTTGCTCCTCCAGTTGCTCCTCGCCCAGCGGGAGCACTGATACAGGAATTTGTAGCTGTTTTCCAGAGTCGTCTCAATCTCACACTCCGGCTCATACTGTATCCAAGTCTTCCACTGGTGAGCCACCAGCCACCGAGTCACGAAGTTGTCATCGTCGGCATTGAGGATGTACCTTCCCCATCTCTCGTTCTTGAAGTTGTCCAAGAAGTCGTAGCTCTTCAGAATCTCGGTTCGATAAGCACCGGTACGCCCAGACATGCACGACGTTCCGCCGTCGATGTTGTGCGTAGCCGAGATCTCGAAGTTGCGCCGCTCGATGTAGGCCGCTCCGAGCCAGTTCCAGATGCGCGTCCGGATATCTCCCTCATGGATGCGCTTCACCCGTTGGCAGGTACCCACTCCGCCAATCCGGTCGTCCTCGAACGGTGCCAGGAGCCAAGGCATGAGCGTAGACGGCCATTCCACATCGTCGTCGGCCATGACAGTAATGGGGGTTCTGACGTGATCATCCTCCAGCGCCTTGCAAACCTGCAGCCGCTTGTTTGCCTTGTCGACGTGGAGAACTTCGATCTCGATAGGAGGGTCACATTTTGGAACACGCAGTGTCGAAGCGACCCGGCCTAGAGCCTCATACTTATTGTAGGTGGTCACCAGGATCAACTTGGCTGGCTGGCAGGCCAGGATGCTTTCCAGAGACGGCCGAAGCTCCTCAGGCCGGTTGTGGATGGTCGGAATGATGACCGTGACATCGCTCGACTTGTATTTAGGATTTGTCCATTTAGGCTGGACAGACTTGTAGCACCAATGGCTGACGCAATGGACAAGAAGCCGAACATAACGGTGGAGCCTACCGGAGCCGTGTTAGCAAAAGCAAAACCTGGGAGAAAAAAAAACTTTGGAGGGAGGAAGAGGGACGGGCAGGAGGACCACGCGCACACAACGATGGCACACCAACACCCGGGCAAAGTAAGCCATACCAGAGGATCGTGTGAAAAATGGCCCAAAATTTGGGGGACCAGAGAAAATCCAGGTCCCATCTCGGAATTACAATATCCATTAAACCAGGCATGCTGAAGCCAAGCAACAAGCAAATGCGTGATTAGGTGTGTTTGTAAGTCCTTAAAAAAAAAAAAAGAGAGAGAAACAAGCTCCTGAGATAATAGTTCGTTCTTTTCTGCTTTCCTCTCCACCTCTCTCTTATGCTTCTATAGCCTGCGCCGTTTGACGAGCCACGTCTCGCCGGGCGCTGCTGCGAATGACGAGATCGACTGAAGGTAGCGCAGAGCTTTTCAGTTGCTCTCTCTTATCTCCTTTCTCTCTCTATCTCGATCAGGGATCCGGAAGTTACAGGCTTCCGGGGCTGCGTTCGGGCCGAGCCGGGGTTGACTGAGATAAGCGAAGGGAGATGTCGGTTCGGGCGACCAGAAGACGGCACGGCCGTTTCATGGGACTCTGGAACCGACTAAGGACGTTAATGATAGGGAGCCCTCAGAAGTGGGGGCTACCGGTGTGCTTTAAGCCGAAGTGCTCTTCAAACAGCTACCTAGCCAGGTGCCGGCTGCTGTCGCGGAGAAGCTCGTTCGCCCTGCGGTAACGGCCAGCCGAGCTTGAGGGGTGCGGGTGAAGAGCAGACGGGAATCGAAACGACCGACACAGGCTGTTCCTGCCGACACGACGGGGAAGGCCGCCGTCGACGTTGGGAGGACGCCAAGGAGGGGTGTGGGGTGTGTGGAAGGAAGAAGCGATATGGATGTTATTCACGAGAGGACGACAAGACGTCAAAAGAACAAAGCCATACAGGGACCGATGTTGTTTCCCCGAGGTGGCGAGAACGAGACGAGAAAGAAATATAAGAATGATAGACAAGAGATCGTCGTGGGGGAGGGGGAAGGAGAGCCGAAGGAGGTCTAGATTTGGGGGTGGGAGTCGGGATATATAGACGGCAAAGCGGGATGAGAAGCGACCAAAATAAGATGGAGAGAGGGATGGGCCATGCAATCGAGACTGTCACCTTGGCCCAACTCGCAGCAGACGAGCGTGGAAGGTAATCGGGGCGAGTTGGAGGACGAGGAGGGACACGAACGGAAATAAGGACGAATGGCAAGGGACTCTACCCGTGAGAAGTACCAGCAAGAAGGAGGAGAAAAAAACCAGCGAAAAGATACCTAGAAGGTAAAGGCAAGGATGTCTTCGGCTTGCGACCGGCAGCTGCATGTACAGTGTATATGCGTTTGTGTGTCCCATACCTCCAGTCCACACACACCCACACCCCAGGACTCAGGGCTGCCCAGGTGCTCTTCAAGGGCCCAGAGCTCGTGTGCAGGACCCCCCGCCCGTTAAGAGAAATGTTTGGGTGCATCTCAGCGCGTCCGCCTTGTGGAAACACAGAGATGACAGCGAGCACTCGGGTAGCTAGAAGGTTTACCTACTAGTGTGGGCGATACATGCGCCCTGAGAACATTCCTGCCGAGATTGGCTCTTGTGCTCACCATACCGTCTACGGGGCGCCAGTTTGTTGCAACGCACCAGAATCGTTCAGGGGGCGTGTCTCTACAATGTTACAACTCCAGCTATGCCAAGACTCATAAAAACCATTTTGTTTGGTTTCTGGGGTCCAGAGTAAAAAAAAGGGGGGGGTGTGTGCAGGCAAAACGGTCCACAAAGATACGCTACGGAGTAATCCGTACGTATACCCTCCTCCCCAACTTGCATCCACAATTTTTCTCCTTTTGCTTCTTTGTCATTGGTTTGTGGGGTGTTTGCGAGAAGGCAAATCAGCAGCACTTACGTCGGCTTCCATTTTATGTTTGTGGTTAGAGAATCCTTTACTGATGATTATTGCTCCTTGTGGCTCCTCACGCTCCTTGTTGTATGTTTTCCTCCTGATCTCAGAGCTCTCAGAGCTCTCAGCACGAGAGCCAGCTTCCCTGTCAGGCCTGGGGGACGCAGTGGTGTGGCACCCCGCCAACTGGCCGAGCGAGGGTTGAGGCTTTAAAATTGGCGTGTGGAGGCAGGCATTCTCTCCACTGGTGCAGCTTTCTCCAGCCGCGCATGGAGTCAAGACAGGGGATTCCCGATGGCGGAAGAGCAACTGTTCAGATGATCGTTTTTTTTGTGTGGCCAAACTTCCAAATGTTAGTTCGTTGGCCAGCGGAAGCGCGTCTTGTGTCCCTAAACGCCAGGATATCTTTGTTCTAGTCGATGGGGAACTTAATATGATCCCAAACATCGTGTGAGCTACTATTTGGTGCGAGCCTTTTGGGCTTAAACCATATATCCAATTTTTCCTCAGCGCTCTTCGGTATGGACAACCTTGACTGGATAATCACTTGGGAAGGCTGTTTCAGCACTCATTGATTGGTATCTAGTTGTGTGCGAGAGAAAGAGTTCTCTTGTTGCCAATCAATCAGAGCCTTGAGCTTGACGCTCCACAGGAGCTAAGAATTGTCCCAGCGACGATCAGCCGGCTTTCGCGGCAAAGGACTGGGAGGAACCATGTTCGCAAGGTGTGCGCAAAACGCTCCTCAGGAAGAGAGGCTCTGGCGTGAGTGGAAGTTCGGAGATTCTGAAGACGTTTCAAACCCCATGCCGTCGAACACAGACTCGTGCAACAAAAGATTCTCTGTTGAAAAAGTCCCCTGCTCGTTAGCTGCTCAGCTCGGATCTGCCGCACTTACCCTCACAGTCTGTCTGACACAAGCGTCAGGTACACCAGCGAAAGCTTGTAGTGGGGCGATTAGCGCCACTGTCTGAGATACCTGCCTCGCGGCTGATGCCGAAACGGCCAGGGAATGGCCCGTGGTTTAACAGCCGCTCATCTACTCTCTCAGGGGCAACTGGAGAGGGCAGTCAGCAGCGAGAGATGACCTGAAACGACGAAACAGAGCCCTGTGGATAGCTGACCGACTACCTAGGAAGGCAATGTGGCCAAACAGCCTGGATTACGGGGAGCAGCCTGGACCTTTTTCAACACTGGGGACGGAGGAGCGACTATGATGATGAATTTGGAGAAAATGGAGCCGCTGCCGCTGGATCTTTGTGGGATGAGCGGCAATCCTCCGAATCGCGAAGGAAGAACAGGTCAAGCCGATGGGCCAATCACACGTGGAAGGTCGGCCGAGGCCACCCGGGCGATCTTCCATTGGCGAGTATCCTCAACTTTTTTTTTTTAGTGTACCGGTGATGCGACGTCCATCCTACCCCCGGCTGTTGTTGTAAAAGTAAAAGCCGGTCCAGTATAGGCTTCTTGCAGAGTTGTGTTTGGCATGTGCAAGATGATCGTGGATGATAAGAGCGCCTACCACGATGCCAATGGAAGCAGCGCTAGCACAACTCTGCCGTCCGACATAGTAGCAAGTACACGCAGACTGTGTCCTCTGGACGATTTAGTGGCTTCCATGAGCAGCCCGCTGATGGCCGCGGCGATATCGACTAATCGGGTGGTCGATGGGAACTCGACCCATGTAAAAGACGGTTTGACCCACAGCTTTGTGAAGCACGGTCATTGCGCCGTTAAAATCTGGCCTGACCGAGGTGTTGACAAGGTCAGGGTCAGTTGCTGGTATGCAAGGGCTCGTAAAAAGCCGTTCGCAAAGGATATCCAAAGAATATGGTCCAACAATGAGATGACCTCAAATTCGAACGGCTGGGTGGTGTCTGAGGGTGCAGCCGCAGACTCAATTGTATGATCACTCTGATGATGTTTCACACGTAAGGCTGGATCCGGGCTTGTCATTTGACTCCATTTACCCCGTCTCACTTGTCAACAACCTTATCTAACAGGGAGAACATGCAGAGTCGCAGAGTGTTGTCAACATGGCCATTGACATGATAAGCCACACTTCACCGGCCCAACGCCTCGGACCACGGGCCGAGGGGAGTGCGGGACGACGAGGCCGTTGACAGACCCAAAATAACCGAGCCGGAGAACAGGTGCCTTCCTGAGATATCGGCTGCCAATGTTCGGCGAAGAGAGACACACGTGCGTTGTGGACTCTGTGGCTTACTTGCACGCCTTGCGAGTATGGGAGCGGCTAGACTGGACCGAAACTCTTCAAGCCAAAGCTTGTCTGGCCCTGTCCAAGTTCCGGACCGGCTGATTCTCGAAGCACGCAAGGTTGTCGAGAAAAAGCGCAGTTTTGTTTTGCCGTCAGTGCACAATGCGCAACCCACATCCCGCACAGTACGATGTGCTTATAGCCGTTGACAATCTCCCGAAATAGTTGAGGTCTGAGCTACATGAAAGGGCGCGCGAAAGGCCCCCCACGGGGTGTCGTTGCGCAATGGCAGGACAATCGAGCTTCACCCAGTCGCCGACGACAGCGCCGGCTTCGGCAAGGACCAACCGTTCGCCAGGTCGTCTCTTGCAGCGTGCTTGGGTGACATCGTCAGCCGTCTGCTAGTTCTCTGTGCGAGCATGCATCAGCCTACAGCAACGGCAATCTTTGATTGGGGATTGGGTACGTGGGAGTACAAGATGTGATAAGGCAAACTCCCCAACCTTAACGGCTTTCCGAGACGAGATAGGCTAGGGACCTACGATAGGGCATATTTCTGGACCAGATTGGCAGTAGACAGCCATAAGTAATTGGGATGGAAAATTGTATTATCAATTGACTTTAAACAGGGAAAATTCCTTTCCCAATCATCACTTCAAATGCTTGGAGTCTAACCTTCGAAGCCCGAGCTTGGTTTGCATCAAGTAATATGTGATGAAAGTGTTACCATGGTAATTAACTATATCTATCCATGAGTTTCCAGTATAGCAGGCAGGTGCTTGCCGGTCAGGACAAAACTGTGGCGTTCCGTTGTGGCGTTCCCAGGAGGTCTTTGCTTTCTTTTATTTTTTTTGGTTGTTTTTTCGAAGAGCCGCAACTTCCAATGGGGTTGTTTCAACTGTTTGTCATTGTGACTTAATTTGACAAGGCAATAGAAGGCGTCGACGTCTATCTCTTCCCTTGTCTTGCAACACCACAGGCTGCGTTCTTTGGAAGTTCTAAGTTTACTCCTAACACACACATCGCATCAAGCTCCTTCGCCATTGCGGCAGGCAATGATAAGGAAGCCAGC